GTATAAGAACTCTAATTGACAGTGTTACATAGATTAAACTCAATGATCTTTTGATTAACATAATCGAATATTTTTCAAAAACATCAATCAGTTATCCAATATCAATAAGACGTTGATTTTCTCTTTTTGTAATTTACTAGAATAGAAATTCAATTTTTAAATGTTCTAAAAAATATTTATTGTTAAAGACATCTCGTTTAACTATGCATTCAAACCTGAACAATACTTTATTGCATACATTCTTTGTTCATTCGATAATATTACATTAGACAATTAAATGCAGTGAAAGAATTATATAAAATTATGACAATAACTTTTTCCGAAGTATTCATAGTACGTAATATTTCTACATTTAAGATTAGAATAGTAAACTTAATAGATTCAAGTACTTTAAGGAAAATTAGCAACATATTTAGAACTTGTATTGTTTGAAAACTATTTCAAACTGTATCATCTAAACTGAATGTCCTTGGTGACATCTAACCAGATAGATATTTGTGACACACATATGCAATCGTAGTTTTTTCAATGTCCAGTTATTTGAGTATTTACTTTTTATTTTTTTCAGAAGAGATTTCATTTTTTTGATCTTTCAATGAAAGTCAATGTTCTTTCATGCATCTTCTGCTGATATGAATTAATGACGTATGAGAATATAATGACTTTTTTTAATATAAAATTTGCAAATTATACATTTTCGTTTTATTTTTATGTTTATTCAATCATGAAAAGTAAACATTATGCTTTTCCACAATTAAGTGCTTTTATGAAAGATATTATTTTGAAATCTTTTTTACGATTAAAATTTAAAAAAATATAATTTATATATAATTATTCAACTTATCAAAAATTTCTCATATTATTAATGTATATTTGAAAGAAATAACTATTATTTTTTCAGTAGTTTTAGTGTTTCATGTTTAAAAGACATAGATGCTATTGATAACGCCCGCTTTTTTTTGGAATATTCGTTCGCGACACAATTTCATAATGACTGATTATTGATTGAAAGGATTATTTTTCCTATATAGAAGAGTTAGGTATGAACAAGATGGTCCGAGATCCAAGACCAACATTTGTTCATCGGTAATAATACCTTTACTCATAGTTGACATATTTTAATGTAGCAAGAAATGTAACGATGAGGATGCTACTAGATTGCAGTAGTGTCTTACAATATGCCAGTATTTCGGATTATATTCTACTCGTTTATTCTACAATCAGAATAGACAGCTGATATTATAGAAGTCTTTTGACTAATAAGAAATATTTTACAGCGGCACCTATCACAATATTCATTTCTCAGTTTTTGATATATATTTGTGATTTCCATAACTGTCTGTATTTAGAAAAAAATATTATGTTTCACAAAAATCACATTATCACCTCATTTAACTATAGAATCAAACGAAGATACAGAACGATCAATTAACTGCAAGCTTCTCGATAGTAGTAGCGAAATCGCCGTAAACCGGCGGTATCTTCAAATAAATGACAATATGAGACTCGATAAATGATGGTTCAAAACATGTACATTGATTTCAATGGCAAATGTATAGTTTATTCTTATTGATCAATATTTATTCACAAAATAATTGCTCAAATTTGAGAAATAGAAATAATATAGATTTTGAATCTATATATCGATTTTGCTTCTACATTTAAAAAATAATTTTTATTTTATTCTTTTTGAAATTCGACCATCATTTGACTGTGTATCGTAGGATCTTGAATATTTACTTTATGTTAAATTTTTTTCGTTGTCACTTCCAATATGTATCTAATTATAAATTGTTCATATTGATTTTCGCTTTTTCTTTTATAGAGATCTTCTACATAGTCTTCATTTCATCTTCACGACTTATATCATCAAATTAAATATGTAAATTTTAAGAATTTATTTCGAATATATATATCTTTTAAATTATATTAAATTCTAAACTAACACAATGCAATCATGTTCTTCCATGATCATTCGTCTATGGTATATCCTTATCATTCTGAATTAATTTCATTATTAAAAAAAACAAAAATTTTCACTTTTTATGTGTTAAACATACCATGCATTTTTTGTTCTACTTATAGACGATCGCTATCAGATGCCTACGACACTAAGAAATAGTCACTAAATAAAGAAATATGTATATCTTTTTTTCTATTTGTATGAATGTATGAATATGACAGTCAAATGTTGTTAGGCATTTTTTTTTCTCAGATTGTATTTTATGTAAAATTACCTTTTTATATTAGAGAATATTCTGTATGATGGATAATTATTTCACAACTATAACAGGTAACTCGAGAAGAATACATCATGTTTGACACGTTACAAAAGTTTATATAAAAATGAAGAAAATGATAAATCTTTTTTCTTGATATTATCATTGTGTAAGACAAGAATTTGTCAAGTATGCGAATACTTAAAATGAAAGAAAAGTTAGGTTTGATTAAATTCACACGTAAAAAGATTCTACCTTACGTTAACATGAATGTCTGTTTTTTTTTCTACGCAGTTACAATTAGCGTATCAGATAAATTATTTTGTTCCCAGATAAATATTTCATTAAGAAATAATTCGATATAGACGATCGAATTATATTTGAAAAATAATGTATTCGTTAATATTACTGAAAATGCGTGACATGTTGATAAAATCAGATTTTAATTTTGTTTTTATTTTCATCCTATATATTTTTACACTTTTCATCAAATGACATTTAACAGAAACAGAATAAAAAAAACATATCTTAGTCGTAATAGTTTCCCGTTCTAATTTTGTTGTTCTCTTCAAGCTGTTCTGTCTTCTATGACGCTTTATCTGTAAAATGACATGACAAGAAAAGAAAAACGTAAGTCAAACAAATTTTGCACCCCGCATATATTATAGAGATTTAATAGAGTTTTTTTTTTATATAGATTAAAATAGTTAACGACTTTGATAGTATTCTTTTATTTTCTTGACATAAAAAAATAATTGCTTATAAGACACTTGAAAATAGTCGATATTTATTTTTATGTGTAGAAGTAGAGCAAAATAATTATTCATTCTTGTGTATATTTATATATTTTTCATATACTTGTAATTAATTTTAAAATCTAGATGAAACGTGACAAGAGCTTTTATTTAACTGCTTTTCTTCTTACTATATTTGCTTTATCAACTTGGCTTGATGTTAATGGTGTTTGGGTTGAACTTCCATTAATAGTTAATCAAGCACCTGAAGGTTGGGCATTACCATCTTATTTAACACTTGCTATTGCAATTAGTAACATTGGACCATTAATAATAATATTATTAAAAATTTATTATAAAGAACATCTTAATGAACGAATATTTATTTATATTGAAATTATTGTTGGAATAGTATCTTGTGCTTTAATAGCTGAATATTGGAATAAAACACATTATTTTGCTGGTCGACAACGTTCAGTTATATTTCTTTTTTTAGTTTTTTTACTTGGAACTTTAGATACAACATCAACAGTTACATATGCTGATTATATGAAACGATATAATTCAAAATTACTTAATGCACTTTATTTTGGTGAAAGTCTAACATCTTTACTTCCATCACTTTTAGCATCTATACAAGGTGTTGGAGGTGAACCAATATGTCGAGAAAATTCAACATATCCAGAATATTCTTCACCACGTTTTTCAGTTCAAATTTATTTTTGGACATTTGTTGGAATTATATTTCTTTCACTTTTTGCTTTTATTATACTTGAATTTTCAAATATAGCAAAATCTCATCGAATAACATTAATTTATAATTCATCTAGACGACCAAGTGCTTATGAACTTTCAATACAATTAGAACCAAACCCGATTACTTTAACTGAATCTTATTCAATGACAAAACGAGGTTATCATAGTCTACTTATTATTGGATTTTTATCAAGTATTATCTTATTTGGTATTCTTCCATCAATTGGTACATATGCAGTATTACCTTATTCACAACATGCCTATTATATATCAAGTATTATTTTACCTATTTCAAATCCACTTTCAGTATTAATAGGACTTTTTCTACGAAGTATATTAAAATATATTTCAATATTTATTTTATTCATATTAGCGACATGTATATCATTATATGTAATTATTGTTGCTTTTTTAAGTCCATGTCCACCATTACATGATACTGCAGAAGGGGCTATATTAGTAATTAGTTGTTATTTTGTAGCTTATTTAATTTTTTATTATATAAGATTAGTTATTGGAAATCGTATTCGTCAAGAATATCGACGTCATAGTGGATTATTTTGGCTTGGAGCAGCAAGTCAGATGGGTAGTCTTGTAGGAGCAATACCAATGTATTTACTTGTTAATACGTATAATGTATTCAAAAGCCGTAATGCTTGTCAAGTTTATTGCATTGATTGATAGTTATTATTATTATCATTCTTATAGATGTTCTATAGAAATAAATTAAATTATGTTGATTTATTACTTTTTATATCTTTGAAATAATTAAGAGTTTCATTTAATTAATAATATATGAACAAAATTATTCGTTAGTAACATGACGAATATACAAACGAAAGTTCGGATGTTTGTGAAACACGATCTAAAGGCAGTGTTGAACTATATACGGTAGCAATTTGCACCCTCCTACATCCTATGACAGATCCTAGTTCACCGACTATATATAAATAACTGCTCATTACAAAATATTAACTCCTCCCTTATTGTATTTCTGGAGGATTCAGCAGAATGAGAATGCAAAAATCAATCTCAAGATAAACAGAATAAAACAATCTCTTTGTGATTAGCAACAGTAGCTTCATTGTGTTTCACATTTTAATTCTACGAGGATTGCTCTAACAGTTTTTACATATGTCTGTGCTAAAAGAACTTCTTCAAAAAACATAATCCTTGTAAAGAATCAAAGTAAAATGAAAGATGTGTATGTCTTGTTTTACCTGAAATGGTTCATATCCTAATTTAACATTTGTTTTTATTTTGAAAGATAAACTATCAATACAAAACATAATTAAAATTTTTTGGTATGTTTGAAAGTTTTTCGATCAAGCCATGGATCTGGTCGTGGTATTCGTACTGGTTTAAGTGGCTTGTATTTGTCTTGTACTTCACAATAAGGTTTTTTTGCAGCTTTAGCTGCTGCTGTAAACGGAAAGAATGGTGCTTCTATGAAAATAAAAAACAAAAAGAAAATATATTTTTACAAAAAAAGAAAAATATTTTTCTTATTTACCAACAACAACTTCTTCACCACGAATTAATTTTTCCCATAAATAAACTTGACCTTTTTTACGTCCTAAATTATTATGAATACCATGAACAGCCATACGTTTCATAATATTAACTCGATGTTTTGATTCATAGAGAAAAGCTGTTCGTACAGGTTGCATTGGTAATATACTATTGAGAACATTTTTTGTTGTATTTGTTAATAATGAAGTTTTTAATACAAATAAATTAAGCATTATAATCTAAAATTAGAAAAGAAAAACAAAGCCTAAATTTTGTTTTATTCTTTTAACGAATAACAAAATGTTAGATTTATTTATTTTTTTTTTTTTTTGTAACTAATAGATATAAACAGGACCACGTTTTCTAGTCTCTACAATGCCATTAACTTTCATTAATTCTTCAGCAACTGTCATTAATTTAGGTTCAAATGTAACACGTTTAAGTTCAGCATCGACAGTATCATCAGAACCGGCTAGAAAAAAAATCAATAAACAAAAATAACAAAAAATAAATTTATTTTACGTTTATAAGTAGATTTTTTTGCATAATCATAAGTTTCTTCCCAGGTAGGGGGTTTCGGAATAATTCGACCAGATCGAGTTGATACACGTACGAGTTCACCTTCAGCTGTATAACGCCATTCAATAGTACATGGTTTTCTAAAAAAATTTATAAATATGAACAAAAACAATCAAATTAAAACACATGACTAACCCATCATATGGATCAATTAATTTTACTTGATGTGGAGCTATCAGTGGTTTTTCTTTAACAGCAATTGAAGTAGCAGCAATAACACCACCACTTATTCGTTGTATTTCCTAATATAGAAATAAAATGTTTTTAAATTTGAAGAATAGAATAAAAAAAATTCTCTTTTTGTTTTTACTAAATTCAGTCCGGATACAAAAATTGCATTTAGTTCACGAATATAAGCAGCAATATTTCCTTGTTTGCCTTTATCTTTACCAATCATAATTTCAACCTATGTATATATATATATATATATAAATAAAATGATAAAATTCAAGATTAGAACATACAGTATCTCCACGAAAAAAATCCCAAGTTTTTAATGGTTCAATAAGTTGTGGCCGTTGATATCCTTGTCGTGGATCATTTTTACGTTGTGCAAGATCAGTCCAAGGTGGATCATTGGTATATACCCATGGATTGTTATACTTTATTGTTTTATGTGGTACAATATTCATATTACCCTCTGGAAGTATAGAAAAAAGAAAATTAAACTCAATTTTTCGATTTTATATCAGGTACTGTTTTTGAGAGTGTGCCAGCGTCAACATCGACTTTATCGAAATGGAATGAAACTTTCCGATCTTGTAAGACTCGTGTCTAGAAGCATAGATATGGGTTCAAAAAATTTTGAAAATTAGGGGGTAGGGGCAAGTTTACTTATCCAGTCGAAACGGAATTTATCGAACTCTTCTTTTTCCAACGATAAAGGTTACAAAAAAATGCTAATTTTTAATATTTTGTAAGCTCAAATGTCTGTGTGAAATCTAAACAGAATTTTAATTTTTATTAGCAAAACTATCTTTAAGACCTATTTTCGAATTGTTCACCAGTGTGCATGTTTTCAGGAATGACCACAAGATACTCGAAATCTTTTCTTTAGTTTAGCTTCGTTGGCATGCTCAGCTTTATCATTTCTGAAACTTTCAGTTTTTGACCAATGCGATTTGACCAAGAAAATTGATCGTGAAACTTTTTGAAGAAAATAATTGTTATACACTTATTACGACTGCTTTTCTCGATCAAATTGTATTGGCCAAAAACAAAATTTTCAGAAATGATAGAGTTGGATATACTAATAAAGTTAAACTATAGGAAAGGATTTGAAAATTCAATCGTTTTTTTCCGAAAAGGGCGTAAAATTATGAGAAATTCGAAAATAGGTCCTAAAGATACTTATGACATTTGGTCTAGGAAGAAGCTACAGATCTGAAAGTTTCCGCGTTAGATAGAAGACAGTTAGACGATTTTAGAACTCTAATAAAAATTGAAATTCTCTTTGAACTTCATAGAGATATTTCAGCGCACGAAACGTCAAAAATTATAATTTTCTGATTTAAATCATTTGAAATAGAAGAGTTAGACAAGATCCATTTGCACTGAATAATCGAACTTGCTCCGTCCCCTAGTTTTCAAAGTTTTTTTAAAACTCCTATCCGTACTTTTAGACACGGATTCGACGAGCTCTGAAAGTTTCATTCCATTCTGATAAAGTCAATGTAAACTCTGGTATACTGTCAAAAGAAGTACCCAATCTCAAATAAAATCTTTTTATTTTTCTATTACCAATAACTGTTCCCTTGAATTTGGCTCGTTCAATATATCGTTTTGGTAAATTAAAATAATCACTCCATCGTAATATTGGTGTTAAACGAACCATATTTCTAATAAATCTAAAACTAAAGTTATCTATCGAATGGCACTGTACTCAGTTTATATAAGCATTCTTTTAATTGTTGTTGTTGTTTTTTTTTTTATAATCCATCTGTTTTTTTATAAGCGAGAAAAAAGGAAAAAAAACATGTTTATAATAATATACACAGTCGTAGAAGCAAAAAAACGGGGAAAAGACAAAAAAAAAGAAAAAAGAAACACCGAATGAACGAAATATGTATATATATATATTTATATGTATACGAGCGCGCATCTTAGTTTTTTTTTTTATTCATATATTTATTTCTATCCATCATCAATCACACTTCAAAAACCAACACAATCATCATCATCATCATCAAAAGAAATGCAATAATAGTCGAAATCATATGAAAAAGTCCTTTGGACAATAATAAAAGCAGCGCAATTATTGGGCTAGTTGTTGTTTTTTTTGTTTTTGTTTTTTTGTTAAGAGAAAAGAAAGCGACAGTTTACTTGAAAGACACATGTAAAAGAAAAAAAAAACAGGAAAACACGTATATACAAGGCTATTCTAGTTACACACACAATAATATGTATATATACATTTTAAAAGAAACCTATCTTCGTCGATAGAAAAACTTCGTAGGAATAACGACCGGGGTAGATGAATATTTATCGACATGTGTAAGTGTTGATGTTGAACTCGTCGATGATTCTGTTGATGATGAACGAGTTGATTGTTCATAATAAACGTTATTGATATAACATGAATTTTGATTGAAATTATTTCCCACTATAAATGATGAATCAGTCGGAGCAGTAATCGTAACTGGTTTTGTATGAAAAACTTTTTTCTTATGTGTTGTAGTCATTGGTGCATAGAAATAATTTTGTGTATGATTATGTTCATCATGAATTGTTCGTGACTAGAAAAAAAAAGAGCAAAAAAATCATAAGATCTATTATTATGAAAAAAGCAAGCAAAAAGAGTTTCAAAATAAAGAAAAACAAAAACGTTAATCACATGCAAGTTGGTTACCTTGTGTTAGAATTGCATCAATCGAATATTGTATGAACAATGTGCGCATGTAGTAATATTGGCTGATCAAAACACAAGAGAGACAGAAAAAAAAAAGAATCAAACCCACACATAGTTATAAGTTTATGTACATAACACACACACACACATTCACACAAGCGTGAGCACTTGGTTTTCGGTTTTTTTAGAAAATTGCATGTTGTGAAGCAAAGCATGTGCGCGCGCACACACAAACGTTCAGAATCGATCATTCTGAACGTTGTTGTCGACGTTTTCATTATTGTTTACCGGATATTGAACATGGCTAGTTTGACGAGGAAGTATTGGTGGCTCGGATAAAGTTTTGCAAAGAGAAGGATGTACGGGTTGACTCGATGCTGATAAACCACTACTTGATAGTGGTGGACATTTAGCCAAAGGTGATACTGAAATCTTAAAAAAAAAAAAAAAAAAAAAATAAATGATTTATTCATCGTGATTTTACAGTAGGATTCAAAATTGATTATACATGTAACCGGTCACCTTAGTCTTTGCATGAGGAGAATTCAAGTAGATTAGCTTGCATAAAAAACATTAGAAGTTTTGAACAAAATCTTTTCAAGATATGAAGCTTGCAAAAAAAATGCATGTTGTATATACTATCTATGGAAATGGGTCTATATCTTGAAAGTTTCATATTTCGAAAAGACTTTATTCAAAACTTCTGAATTTTTTTATGAAAACTAGTCTAGTTGAATTTTCCATATGCGCAAAGTTTCAGGTCAAAATTCAAAAATATGAGTTTTCCGAAAATCTAGAGCTTCTAGAACAAATTTCGATAGTTTAGTCAAATCTCAATAGAAGCCCAAATCCTCTCTTTTCGAATATTTATTAGAACACTATGAAGTATGTATAGACAGAAAATCATTGAAATCAGACACAGCCATTTGAAGACGTTCTCTCGTGAATGACTATATTGTTAGATATGTATCCACAAGGTATTGCATTGAAATTTCAATTAACACTAGCCATGAAATGATCCTGGACAAGTTACTAATGGCTGTTTGTCTCGAATCACCCGTTCAACAGCATGTTCACGATGTTATGTCGTACATCTGCTATAGTGGTTAGTTAGTGTATATGGGAAACTGAAAAAAAATTGAGTGTAAAAGTTTTACTTCAGATTGACCTTCTGTCCAGAGTTACACGTCGAGAAGATGTCAAGCTATTGAATCTACCACTAAGTAACACTTGATACCGCAGAGTAGCTGAAAGGCAGGGTTAATCTTCTTCCTATTTATTAAATACTAAAAATGATGTGAATTGATTTCGCTATCATGTCGAAGTTTACGGATATGTGATCATTTAAAACTTCGTATTTTATCCTTTTGACCGGAAAATTGAAATTTTTACAATGAAATAAAATGTTCAGCCCATTTTTACATTTTGATATATGATCAATTTTGAGTATAACTGTATTTATATACATACTTGGGATTTTTGTCTAACAATAGACGGCAATAAAGTTGGTTGCGGAGAATCTGGTTCAGTAGCCATCGATATTGGTGGTTTAAGTGGTGCTTGAAGTGGTGGCCATTCAGATGAATCAAGAATATTTGGACGAACTTGATGATATGCTTTAGTTAATGATCTATCATTATTATGATCATGTGTTAATTGATTGAATGAAAGTAATGGTAAAGATGATGATAATATAGATGTGTTTGTTGTTGTTAATATATTATTTGTGTGTGTATTGGTTGTTAATGTTGTTGGAATGATTAATGATACTCCAGCAGCAGCTGCTGCTTCCATGTCTCGAGCTACTTTTCTTTCACTTAAACGTCGAAATAATGAATTATTGTGTGGATGTTTTTTATTTAAATTATTTCCATTACTATTATTTGAATTTGTATTTGTTGAAGTTCCTATTGAATTTAGTCGATGTTTTTGACAATATGGTTGATGATAAATATTATTTGTTTGACTTTTTTTATTATCATATTGTTGATTTGGTTGTTGTTGATAACGAATTTTTTGTTTTGATGGTGAACGACGTCGTCCACCAGTACGTATTTGAGTTTCAGATCGTGGTATAGCACGTATAGATAATTTAGGTGAACCACTTAAAATTAATTTAACAACTTCAGGATGTAAAAGACCAGCAACAGGACGTTCATTAACATGAGTTATAACATCATTTGGTCTTAAACCAGCTTCTTCAGCTGGACCTTCAACAGCAACAACAACATGTTGTGTTGTATAATAATCTGTATTTCCATGAAAGACTTTAACAGCACGTAATGTAAAACCAAAACTACGTGGACCACGACGAATAATAATTGGTGGTCGAAGATTATTTGTTATTGAATGAATAGGTGATATAGTTGATGATGAAAATGAATTTTGTTGTTGTGCTTTAAGAGTTGTATCACGTTCAAGTGGTGATACAGCCATATTATGACGTTGTGTATGACGATAAGAACGATCATCCTTTGAAAGAATAATTATTATAGAAATTAAAATATAATGAACGCAGATGTTTTTATAATAACTTTTGATAGAAACGATGTAGAGATGTCGGATTTTCATTATTCAAGAGAGAACATTCGAATCTATCAAAAAGTAAGTCGAAATCTAATTTGTCAGCAATTGACCGATCAAATGAGTTCTTGGCGAAGATTCTGAAGTCAATTTCCACTGAATTTTAATTTGAAGTATGACCAATCAGTAGGAAAAAGTCTTCTCTTTCGATCTAGGCAAATTCCAAATTCATAGTTATTTTCGTTTAAGAGTTTCAAGGCTTTTCCTAATACGCTGATTCAAGTAATTTGACTTTGGAAGATTCTAAAAGGCTCCAGACAAGAACTATTCATCATGTTGAGTCGAATGATAATGTCTACTTTCAGCTTCAAAGTGACATGAGACTTCTATTTCAAGATTTTCAAAATTACGCCAAATCTTCAAAAAAGAAAAATATTCTTACTGGATGATTAAAACACATTGGTGGTGGAGATGACGATGATGATGATGATGAAAATGATTTTGAAAGTGATCGTGGAAAATTTCGTTGTTGTTGTTGTTGTTGTTGTTGTTGTTGCAGTTGTTGTTGTTGTTGATTATTAAATTTCACCGGTTTATTTAAATTAGTTGTTAGAACTGATGAACTTGTTTTTGTTGTTAATGGTGGTATAAGTGAATGTGATGAAGCTGATTTTTTAAATTCAGTTTCATTTGATATTGAAACTGAAGGTGTTATTTGTGATGATATTGGAGAATTATTTAATTTTGTTGATTGAATAAGATCTTGTGATTTAGAATTCGAAGATATATTTAAACTTGTTGTTGGTATTGGTGATGTTGATGATTGTTTTGGTTCAAGTGGTGATAAAGTACGAGGATTTCGAACTTTTTTATGATGTTGATGATGATAATGACGTGTTTTAATTTTTTGTTGTTGATTATCATCTCCACTATCATTAGCATTTTGTTGTTCAAGTAATTTAACTGATGTTCTTCGTTGTTTATGATGTTTTGTTGTTGTTGGTGGTGGTGTTGGTGTACTTGTTGTAATTGTATTTGTTTTCTTCTCATCTATATTCGTCGTTGTTACTGTTGAAATTTGTAAAGACGACGATAGAGAAGATGATGATGAAGAATTTCTTGATATACATGCATTTGATAATGAAAGTTTATCTGATGATGCATATGTATCTAAATCTTTTTTAACTGATGACGATTCAGAAGAATTATCATCCGATGAGACAAGTAATGGTTCAAATGTATCTGAGCCAAAGTTTGGTGGAATACATGATGGTTGAACTAAAGAGAACATAACACAATTATTGAGACTCAATAAGACTGGAAAAGTTCTAAACTCAGCTCTAGAGGTTCACAGGCATGAACCCTTTTAAATTTTTTCTAATCTTACTGAGACATCATTACGAACTCAACATTAGCTCAAAACGAAGAGTTACAATTCAGATAGTTCTCTCGTAAATCGTAAGCTGCAAAGTACTTGTTGAATTATTATTTAGTAGAAAAATGTTCACTTCAGAATATAAACAGCAAAGTCGGAACTGGGTGAATTTTTTTCAACCGATAAAAGTCCAGTTCGTTTCCTATATTAATTGACAAATTACTTCTTTCTTGAGAAAGACTTTCTTGTCTTATGAACAAATCGTTACTTAAGATACTTGAAAGCCAAATGTCGGGTAATTTTTAGTTACCTTGAAAAAAGTTAATATTCAATTTTGAAATAGATTTCAAAACTTTTCCTTATTTAATACCTAAGTTTCTTTTTAAACTTACATGAGACTACCGGACAGAACAAATTTCATATAAAAAATGAAGTTATTTGTTAATGTTATTTATACCAAAAAGAAACATAATCTGTGACCTATTAGTGATTAAGAGTTTCTAATAGTCAGAAGCAAACCGTCCGGAAGTGAGTATGGAATTCGTAGGTAACTTTTTTCTACTATCATCAATACATTCAGTATGCTGCGGACTAAGGTTTGCCACGAGAGGAGGAACTTTCTTTGAAGAAAAATTCGACTTTGAAATAGTATTTGCTTTACTCCGCATAAATATAAGCAGACGATATCGTTGCGAAGTGGATAGGATTTGGGAGAGATAGTATCTCGTGACAGGCATGAAGTCACCACCTCTACCAAACATATACTAATTTCAATATTCTTTAAGAAACCTAATCGAACAGATACTACTATTCCCAATCTGTTATTAACATCCCACAACTTTATGATAGTTGTTAAATAGACTTTGAAGACTTTTCCGTTTGTTTTGTTTTTTAAATATTATTTACCTTTTTGACCCGTCTCAATAGGCATTGATTGCGTCATAATAAGTGGTTGAAAAGCACTAGGTGAATTAATTCGTATAACATTATCTGAAGGAAAACATTCTGAACAAGAGTTCGCTCTTGATACATCAGTTGATGATATTTCTGATGTTGTTGTATTTGTTGTTGTTGAATCTTGTTGTGGTGTTTTATTTGAATGACGTTGTTTATGAGTTCCTGATAATTCAGAAACATATTTTAATGAAACCGATGAAAATGATGCAAATAATACATCTGAATCATTATCCGGTGATGTTATTTGTGTTTGTTTATTTGTTGTTGATGATAAAACATCATCATCTGAATGTTGATAACGATCTTGTCTTGTATCAAAATATGATGTATCATCAGGTGATTCTAATACTGGTACAAAATCGGCTTTTTCACGTAATAATGTATTCCAATTAATACAAGAACAAAATGGATGTATACGAATTTCATATGCACCACCTAATGTACCTAAACGTTTTGATGGATCATGTTCAAGTAATTGTTCAATTAAATTTTTAGCTTCAGGACAAAAAAATTGTTCCGATGAATCATATGATGTTGATGATGATAAATCAAGTGTTGATTCATCAAGTAAATCAGGCCATTCGATTTGTCCATTAATAACATTAGCAAATAATTCATCAGGTGTATTACCTGTAAATGGTGGTACACCAACTAAAAATTCATATAATATTATTCCCATACTCCACCAATCAACTGGTTTACCATAACCTTGTCGTAATATAACTTCAGGTGCTATATATGATGGTGTACCACATATTTGTTTATCATTAAATGCTTTTGTTTCTTTATCAATATGTTTTTCATAAAAATTTGTTGTTAATGACATTAAACCAATTTTTGATAAACCAAAATCAGTTAATTTAATATGGCCAACTGCTGTTATTAAAAGATTATCTGGTTTAAGATCACGATGTATAATACCATATGAATGAAGATATTCAACAGCTAATGTTGTTTCAGCAAAATACATACGTGCTATATCAATATTTAATGGTCCACCAATATTTTTTAATAATGTTGCAACATCTCCACCTTCAACATATTCCATAACAAGACATAAATGTTTTTTAGTTTCAAATGTACATATAAGTGCAACAACAAATGGATTATCTGTAAATGTCATTATATCACGTTCAACAAAAGCTTGTTCAACTTGATTACGTAAAATAAGATGTGTTTTAGAAATTTTTTTCATAGCATATCGTTCTTGAGTTTGACGATGTTTTACTAAATGAACAGCACCATATGCACCATTTGATATTAATTTAATTACTTCAAAATCATCTTCACATGGAGCTTTAGTTGATAAGGGTTGTTCAATTAATGGAAATGTTGTATTTGGTGTTATTGTTAAATAATTTGAATCAGTTAATGATTCATTTTCACTTTCAGATAATCCAATATTTGTATTATGATCAATTGTATCTTGATGTTCATTATTACTATTAGGTTCATTGACCTAAATGATAATATGATAAAAAAATTTTTATTAAATTTTCTTTTTTTTTCTTTGGAAGTAATTTTCATGTAGGAAATTATAAGAAATGATTAATCATGATTTTTATCATGTGATTAAGAAATTCTCTAGAGATTAGAAGGAAAGTTCACTGCATCTTCGATATGAGTAAATTGCTTTCGGCAATGTCAATTTATTATTTTTTTTTTTCACAGTGAAAAAGAACCGCTATCATTCTTCGGGTCGCATAACACAAAGAAAAGAATATATATATATATTGCCTATAGCCCTTCATTTAATATTCATTCAAATTTATGAAATACATTCGCTTATGCAACCTTCAGATCACTATCTTAGTTTGGTTGATTTCAATAAAAAGAAACATATTCAATAGTAATAATGTATTTTATCTTAACTATAGATCGAATAAGTGAAAAAATGTCCTTCTAACCAACGTTCAATATATAGATTATATATGATTACCTGTAATATATCAATAACATCAAGTGGATTACGTTCAAGATTAAGTTTTGAACAAATATATTTTGGAATATCTTGTTTAATATTTCCATTAATTTTTGCTTGACATTCAACTTCATCTAATGTACGTAAAAAATCTTCAGGATCAAATTCTAAACATTCAAGTAATCTTGCTGATCTAGCTATTGTTAATAATAATTTTCGTACAACTGCTTGTAAATTTTCAATAGCTTGTGGACATTTATCTTTAGTATTTAATAATAATCTTTCAAGATTATTTGTCATTTCATTAAAATATGATGTTGTTATTAAATCATCATGAGATTTTTCTAAACAATCTTTAGCTAATTCAACTATTTGATTATGTATAAATCTAGCTGAACCATCAGAACAATAATCATATTTATCAACTGGTTTGTATGTATCAATAAAATTTTGTAAACGTTCTTCCATTTGTACTTTAGCTTTAGGATAACGTTCTTTATATATATATGCCATTGTATTCATATCGTGATCAGGCATAGTCATCATTTTACATGGTGATGATGATATATTTGCATCAAGCATTGACATTGATATTGAACGTGATTCTAAACGTTGTAAACTTCCATATATAAAATCATCATGTGGACTAACATTTAATAAACTTCCTTCATTTGAATTTGGTAAATTAGTTTGTTGTTTACATGTACATAGTTGTTGTGCTTGTTGATGATGTTGATGATGTTGAAGACGTTCAAATGATGAATATTGTGAACTTTCCTGTGAATGACATGTTATTGGTGTTGTTGTACCATAACCACTTGATGATGGTGCTGATGTTAATGACCATCGACGATTTGAATTATCATCAATATTATTTATTGGTTTAAATGCACTTGTTGATGATGGATTAAATGTATTGGATGTTTTTGTTGTATCTTGTATATCTGATGATGTTGTACATAATGTTTGTTGTTGTTGTTGTTGTTGTTGTGGTGAAAGTTGTTTTCTTAAAGCATATTTTAAATTAATTAAATTTAAACCGGATAAATTTGAACGACGTGAACTTGGTCGACGTAATGGGAATGGATAAAAATGTTGTTGTTGTTGTTGTTGTGATGATGTTGATTGAAGATTTGTTGAATTAGTATGATTATTATTATTAGTATTATTATTATGAGAATTATTATTATCATTTGTTGTTGCTGATGATGTACGAGGTGATGATTTAAGTGATGGTGATGTTTGATAGAAATAATTCATTTGTAAAGAATTTAAATTTGGTTCTGATTGTCCAAAACGAAGACGACGTAAACGTAATAAATTCATTGTTTGTTGATTATGTGAATAAATATCTGATGTTTGAGAATTATTCATTGATGTTAACATATTATTCGGACAATTTGATGATGTTGATAATAATTGTATTTGTGATACCATCCAACTACGACGACGAAGACGTTCTTCAACAAATTTTTTTGAATTTTGTTCACGATAACGAACTATATGCTGACCAGAACCAGTTGATGAACGTTTACGTGTTAATGCATATTGCTGTTGTTGTTGTAGTTGTTGAAGTGTTGTCTCCGGTTCATTTGATTCACATTCATTAACACTTAATAAATGAGAATCGGGATTTTCATTTGATACTGTTGGTAACAATGACGAAGTACAAGTTGAATCTACGTCTATATAAAAAAAAATATAAATTGAAAACGTTCGCTCGTAATTTCATATATGCAGATAGTATCACGTAGGAATATAAAATTCGAATGAAATTCCATGTATTCTCTCTTGATGAGAAGCGCATGGTTCTTTCTGCACTCATTGTATACTAATGTTTCTTTTATCCGTGGACGTAGACTATTAAAATCAAACGTTCTTAATAAGAACGTTTGATTTTTCGAAAAAAATTCTAATTAGTCATTAGCTAATTTTCTTTTGCATATTTAGCGTGAAACTGATTCGATTAGTAGATTTATTCTATTTTCATGTTATAAGGAAATGTTTTTAATTAATGTTTATTGCCTCAGTTTTTTTTTGTTTATTCAGAGTTTCTTTGTTTTTACCTGAAACAACAACAAATAATTTTTTTGATTTTTCTTCATTTTCATCTTGTTTCAATTGACTATTATTTATTACATCTGATGATACTGAATCATTTGATGTTGAATTATTTAATAAATCTGTTGGGTTTATTTCAACTTGATTTGTTGTAGCAGTTTGAGAATGACTAGATGTTGTTTGTGATTTATCTTTTTTCGTTGTTGATATTATTTGTGTTTCATCATCTTTATTAAATGATAATGGTGACACAACAAGTGATGATGATCCTGCCAATGTTGATGTAGTCGTTGACAATGTTGCGTGTTGGTGTGTTTTATGTTTCGATTTTTGACTGAAGAATTTTCTCATCGTTGACTGACAGTTAGGACAAAAAAATATATATAAATATGATTATTCGTTGTCAACAGGAGAACAATAAAAATAAACAACAATTACGACATAAACAGGCTATGAATATTAACGACAAAACTACTGGTTGTTCTGAATCATAGTTTGTTTTTTTTTTCGTGAATATGATGCAAACTATAAATGACAGGTAAAAAATGATGGAGTGTTCTCCAATAATATTTGATACTGCTTGACTAGATTGCTCGTCAGTTTTTGTCGCATTCTATAATAAAAGAAAAAAAAAAATCTAAATATACTAATTACAACATGACAATAGTCAACTATGAGACATTCAGAGAAAGAGCGAGAAACAAACTATAGATAAAAAAAGAAAAGAAAATGCAACGGTAAACAATGAAAAGATTACTAAGCGTTATGTTGTTGACATCACCTTCACATATTCATTCTGATACAACAAAAAAAGCACTGAAAAACATAACAATCATCATGTCGAAACGAGCAGTCATGATGAACATAACTTCAAGTGTAATAATGCTATATGTGTGTACATATAAAAGAAAATTCTCTTTTCTTACTTGCTTGTTCGTTCGTTCGCATTTACTTTTCAAGTGATGGTGGTTGTTCTCTCTCTCTCTCTTTCGCTCTATTTCTTTTTCTTCTTCATCGATCCTTCTCTCGTTATATACAAAAAGAAAAATCAGCTGTCGCAATTGTGACTAACAATAAATATATACTAGAAAGAGGAGAATCTAGTAGTAAATGGAATGAATCTCGCATTTGCCTTGTTTCTCTGAATGTAATAATTCAAGCACATAGGTCACTCTGATGATCAATCGACAAAGTAGAAAAACATATATAGATTTCTTTGATCTCTCTCTCGCTTCCTGTGTGAGTGTAGACTTAACCCTTGTTATCATCAAATAGCTCGATGGGCCTATAAGGTTACAACGTACGAAAAGAAAAAAAAGAAGAAAGACCGACATGATATAAATGATAAAAACATCATGGTATAAAGGAAATACTAGGCGGTTATAGATGAGAAAGAAAAAAAAATGAATGAATATGCAAACTACTTGACTTCACAAATAATGATATTGCACATGCTTTAAGGGAAGAGGAACCTTGAAATAAAAATGGAATAAGCAAGTATTCAAAATAGTTGCTTTTACAATCGAGAAACTTCAGTTGAACGATAAAAAACATACAAGGTCAAGTAACTAACAATTCAATTGAAAAGAATATTAAAAGAAGCATATACATCTGAATGAAGTGAACTCAATCATATGGCTTAGATTGATTTAAATTTCTTTTGATCGAAAAAATATCAGAAGGACAACTTCCTAACATAGAAGCATATTTAATCATTTAACATATGGAAATGATAATCATAAAAGTTAATCAAATGATTATTCTTTTTTTTCTTTTGCTTTCAATGATGTGAAATTTTTTTTGTTTAAAAAAAATAACCGATACCATAAATGTTTCATATTTATTCTAATAATCAAATTTACCTATGAACTTTTTTCTATTTCAATCTAATCCTTGAGCAAAAAAATACATTAAATTTGAGAACTATACAATCGAATAACATATTATTCATTTATATAAAAGATTATTATGAATAAGAAAACTTATTTAAGAGGGATCAAAAGAAATCATTCTTGCATCATATTATTTCTTGACATTTTTCGATTCTAAAGGATTAGAATGATAGTATTCAAAAGAAAAGATTCATACATCTTAGTTTTTTTTTCTCTCCCAAGAGTAATATTGTAACTTGCTATGTCGAAATTACCTTTGATGCGTCAGTTACTGATCATATGCGTTAATCCAATCAACAGAACGTAGTAGATTATCGTCTAGTGTCTCTTGTTTATAACCTTCATTCATCATTGGAGACCATGATGATTTATATATTACTTTTTGATATTCCATGTGTGTAAGCATATGATTTGCGTTCGTGTCATATCGATAATGATCATTAAACTATGCATAAAATCTATATCCAGACTATGTCTAGTTAAAAATCTATTTGAGCTGCTTAATATAATTGATCAAAATCAATTTACATTTTTTTTCTGTATTATGCACAGTTATACGTTGACGGATATATACATAAATACTATCTTTTTTTTCATACTAAGAAAAGATACTGTCACGGATAAGCGACTTAATCGTATGAATACGTCAAGCATATCACCAATAAAACGAAACGACAACTAAAAAGAAAAAGGTGTTCGATATCGAGCGGCAATCTAAAACAAGGCCGTTAATGTTGTGTTTATTTTTGTTTAACACTAACGTTATGAAGCTTATGGCATAAGACATTAACTATTTCCTTATTTTTTTTTTCAGTAATATATACATTGAATATAATTATCGATTCATTATTTATATTTCTGATGAAATTCTTTCATAATTCTAAGGCTTTATCAAAGACCAATTGAATGACTATTGACATTTTTAATATTAATTGTCTTATCAAAAAAGAAAATATTAACAGAATAAAATTAATCGATTTTCTTCTGTTATTTTATTATTTTACGTCGAAAGACGGATAAGGAAAAACGCACACACATATAGACATTGATCCACTGACACATACGCGAGAGTAAATAATGTTGACAGTTTTTTCTAGCTTCATACATCTCTCATGTCATCAATTTTTTTTTCGCCTGAATGTTATCCGTGAAGAACGAACATAGTTACTATTTATAATTGATGCGTATATAATTTGTTGTGTGGTTTATTTTTAGTTTGTTTATTGATTTCAACTAATGGTCTATCCTATTTAACATATTTCGCATATGCGCACATATCATATGAAAGTTTTCCAGGCCCATTAAAGTTGTCCGTCATTAATAAGGCAAAAAAAAAAAAGAATAATATTATTTTCTATTTGCTCTGCAAGTGCCTTTACATAATTGAAAACAATCTTTAATATAATAAGAAAACTGATGAGTTTCTGTGATTGAAAAAGAAAAAAAAATATATAATGATACTTACTCGTACAACGTTAAACCGACGAAAAATCAATCGAACATTTTTTACAATTCATATCTAAAAATAAATATATAAAATAAAAGATATAACAAATAAGAAAACACAATCTAAAAAGAAATATTTATATACAATATTTCTAGGAAATTTACTGAGATAGAAGAGAAAAAGAGAATTATTATTATTATTATTACTAGTGCTATATTATGTTATATGATGCCGATGACTCATCAAAATTTGTTTCTAATAAAGGACAAATGTCAATATGTGGTATTAAACTTACATTTATGTTTACCAATGAAAATATCGGATGAATATTTTTAATTAGTTATTTATATGTCAATTATTTTTCATATATGTATATTTTTGTTCTTATTAAAAATAAATAAATAAAACGATTGATGGCGCTGTTTTTCATATATGTTTTAAATATTTTTTATTATTTCAAAAAGAGAAACAATTTTTATAATTTTGTTTAAATTTATATAGAAAATATTTTTTATTTAAATGATAAATAAATAATCGATTATGCGAATTAATATTTGTTGTTTAAATGTCACTACAATCAACACAATTATCATTATAAACTTAACTTCTAATTTAATGCAATATTAAATGAATATTTCTTTTCATCATTGAAATTTCTAAAAAATTAATAAAAAAAAATGTTCATCTATACTAATAAAAATACTAGTAGTGACTGAATACTAGTGACTGAATACTAGTGACACATCATGACGTAACTTAAAAACAAAAAAGAAATAAACTTAATAGTTCTGTTCAGAGATACCGGAAATCGATTTTTTTTCAACCCATGGATCAACTCAACCTATTTGACTGTTCCATGGGTGGATTCCAACGAAATTCTAAATTTTGCTTTTAGCCCATCGATCGTAGGACTGGATTGAGTGAGTAGCTTGAACCCTATCCATTGGATAACTCTGGCTATTAAGACTTTTAACATTCTTTGTATACTAATAACAGTAAATTAACACGTGCTGCACAACTGGAATAATTGCTATATATATTTCTAAGATGATAGCTAATGTGTTGAACTTTTATTTAGCATACTTTTAAAGAAATGCTTTTGCTTATAACATAAGGAAAAGAATGATTTCATTATCGTCCTTTTTCAGATCATGTATAATCATAAAATCGAAAATTTGCATCGCATTTAAAAAGGAGAGAATTAGTAGTAAACTGACTTAAAAGCACTTGCAAAGCTTTCATGAAACTAGCACTGCTGTAAAGCTTGATGAAGTACTAAATTTTTCATAGGTTACAGAAAAAAAAGTTAAAGTAAACGAAGATTGTTATAGGCTCGACTAAATTGATCACGATAAAGTATTCAGTATTTTATTACATTTTGGTGATTTCCATGAAAAATTTCATCTCTGATTCTATCGTATCATTAAAATCGTCAGCCGTTTGTTTCTAATGTATTGTAAACTAAACTTATGCTAAGAGTTTAGAATTCAAATTTCATCCTATGTTGACAGTAGCACATGAAAAAAAAAGAGTGTTTATTTAAAGTCACTGACTGTCTGATGAGATATTTTAAATAACCAATCGATTGAAAAGAATATAGACCAGAAACAGTGACATGCCCAGAGGAGAAGGACGGATTGGGGGAATCAATCCATTGAGTGAGAAAAATAACTGGAGGGAGGTACGGCAAAAGAAAATTTCACGAAGCGAAAACCTTTTCTTCACCATGGTACTCTCATACTTGAAGGGATCGATCCTTCCCATGAAAAAATTTCTGAGAACACCATTGACTAGAAGTATTGACAGGGTGATTTTTTCGCACTCTGCTTTGTCCTACTGAACTGACACGCTGTCTTGGTTGTGATTTCCAATTGAGTTTAAAAGCAAAAATATTTCCTTACTACGTCATAAAACATTGTTTTATTTAAGCCCATTTTACAATAATACGAACTCATAGTTCATCAAATAAAATGTATGAGTATCAACAAAAGAAATTAAACAATATACATAACTTTGTTTCATAAACTTTTCTATAAAACTTAATTTGAAAAAAGTATTCAAGAAAAAGAACAACCACAAAAAGGCAATGTATGCTTTATATTAGTGTTTTCCTAGTAATTATACTAATATAAAGTTTGCTAACATGTCTGATTTAAGATCCAGTCAGCAGTAGAAAAATTCTTTTTTTTTCTCTGTTAATTCTTGTTGAAATAGATCAAGCATATTTCGAAAGAAATAAAAATTAATTTTGATACAAATTTCTATTTTTTTTTGTTTATTCTTATTAAATTTAAATAATACATATTGATGAAGTTCATTGTTTTTTCTTAAATCATCTTTGAATCATGTACAGATATTTCTTTTGTTCTTAAACCTTTTTTTTTGTGGTTCTAATGAATCTTTTGCAGAATATAAAGATTTCATCTTGTCCTGTGGACACTTCTGATGTCTACTGATTCAAATAAATACATGTGATGATTATTTGGATCAAAAAACATATTACCTTAGTTTTTAATATTGAGAAGAAACATAACATAACGATATGTTTCAAAAGTCGAAATGATAAAAAAATGGATAATGAAGTCAAATAAATCTGATAAAATTTAATCTTTAATATCATATCAAAATGAATTTGAAAAATAGATTCAATTGAGGGAATTTATACTATTCGAAAGCAAACATAACCCGTATGTTTGATTGAAAGTTCACCATCTATCTTATATAAAAATATTGCATTTGATAATAACAAGGCTCAATAGAGATTGAAATTCCATAATTGATGTTGAAGAAGAAAAAATAAATTTGAATTAAATTCCATTTGATAACATAATAACGTAAGCTTGGCTTAGACATACTCAAAAGATTAAGATTGTTTTCCTTTTGCATTCTCCAAAAACTTTAATTAATATCAAATGAAAGTAAAAACAAAAAGATCATATTGATACTATGAAACAGCACATCCTAACAAGGATTGAAAGTTATTGAATTTCATAATTTGGAAAAGAATTTTTGGTTGCTACATTATTAATTTAAATATGACCTGACCTTTCTTTTATATAGGATACAGAAGTTTCTAATTTATGACGTGATAATAAGTTCATAATGACCGTTTAATATACTTTGATAATCATATAAAGTGACGTATGCAGTACTTGTGACCTTACTGAAAAAGACCTATTTTTCTAACGGTTTATAGCTTGTTACCTTTTGATGAATAGGATATTGATTATGATACGCTCTAGAAAGTGTCAATTCTGCCTGAAAAGACACTTGAGCTTCCTGTAAAGGAATTATCAGAGAGTTGCTACTTCCTTTACAAATATTGTCAGGAAACTAAGTCCCTTCCTGTAACTTTTTTCTGGTTATATCTTCAAAAAACAAGCTCACTTTGTAAGACTTACAAATAGTAGATAAAAATTATGATTATTTGAGTCAAATTTATAGAGTTTTTTTTATTATTATTTTATTGCATAGTCATAAAATTGTAGAAGTTTTTTGTGCAAAATAATTACTTATCACAAAAAGATAAATAAATAAAATAGTTTTTACACGTTTAAACTAGGTAATAGATATTGTTTTTGATATTGACACTTTTGATTAGTTGATAAAGGTGAAGGTTTTTCGAATGGTTTGTTTTTATGATAATTAGTCAATATTGATGATGACGATATTGATGACAAGAATTCCTGTCTATTTGTCAAAGAGGCAGTTCGATATCGGCGCTGTCGCAGTTGTTCTAAGAAAAACATTACAATAAATGAATCCATTAGTAAACAAAGTTCTTTTTTTTCAACTGTACTTTTCTTTTTCGTTGTTGTTGTTGTTTCATTATGAAGTATTTGCATACACTTAGCAATCAAGGAAAATATTACCAAGAGAAAAAATAAGATAACAGCAATTAGACCAATATCAACAAGAATTGATTGCATTTCATGGTTATTATTATTGAAATCTTTGAAAGAAAAATATGATTATTTTTGTGTATTACGAAAAAAGAATTTATGAATGAAAATTTTTGAAGATAATGTTAAAAAATACATTATCAATGACTTACGCCTACTTTCTTTATATGAAGATAAAAATTGTTCAAGTACATTTGTAGGCACTGTTGTTGCAATCATTTTATCATATATAATCAATCAAATTTAAATATACTTGTAGTTTGTAGCATCTGTTGAAAAAGAACCATAAACATCATCTATACTTCTCCTTTACTTACATAAGTACTTGAATATCATAAATAAAAAAAAGGGTAGTAAAACATGAAAGAAGATATCATACCATCAAATAGAATATTTCTATGTTACAAATACATAAGTTCCTCTAAAGTAAACACTAAGACAAAAAATCATTTGATCTTCAATTTAATCATCGAACATGAAATAGAAACCTATTTTGTGTATTTTTTTTAATGACACAATGGTTTGATAAGATTTACATCAAACTCCGATTATATTACACATTTATTAAATATTAATAGAGAATCAAAACGAAAATATAATTACGACAAATAAAAAATAAACAACATTCTCATAATTTTATTTTATGATTGTTATGAACGAATAAATTTATTGTTGCCATTAGATTTACGGTTTTTTTTTCTTGCAAAATTTTCATTTCGACGACTAAGTATTGTTAGAGCATTTTTGCCATTAAATAAAACTTCAACACTTTGTCGTACTTTTGATGGAGGAGTTTTTGGTGATACACGTTCTGAATTTTGAATATAAGCTGGACTTGGTGATGTATCATAATTCATAACAGATGTTCCACATGTAAGACGTCTTTCTTTTCTCTTAATTAAATGAAAATCCATAAATAATTGATGAAATTCATTTATAAATATATTTCGAAATTTTTTTCCAGCTAAACAATATAGGAAAAAATTAACTACATGTGGTAAATCCGACAATATATCTTGTACAGTGCTTGAATAAAATCCAAGTTTATATAAGATTATGTCATGATCACTAACATCTATACATGAACGTCCAAATAATAATTGTCTTGTATCATAAATTTGAACAGTAATAAAAAATAGTGTATTGGGAATATTAAATATAATTAATGATAATGTAACAGCTAAAAGCATCCGTGTAACTTGTGCATTTGTACGTCGTTTTGTTGCTAATACTAAATCAGCTGTTGTAGCTATTGAACCACCGGAACAACGTTGACGAAGTGATACTTTTGATAAAGTTTTTTTGCAAAAACTCAATTCAGAATCTCGTGTGTTAGATTCTTGAGATATTCCCCAATTATAAGATGTACGATGTAATACAACCGCAATAACAATATTTGCAGCTGTAATAAGACCTAAGAATGAATGAAATCATTAGATTTATGTTTCAGAAACAAAGACTTGTCTTGAAAGATTACATATTCTCAATTATATCGAACACCAAAATGACTTAATCAACGTTATGTGTCTAAATTTTGATAATATTTCATTTGTTGAATAATTCATCTGTCATATTGCATGACTTTGATGTTTTCTTGCATATCTAATAAATTGTTCTGTTTAATAACTATTCTCGAAGAGCATAAAGCATAAAATTAAAAAAATTGCGTATCGACTATTGACTCGTAAAAACCAGTTAATGATAATCTATCTTCTCAAAAAAAAAAGAAACAAAGAAAACGTATTTCTTTAATAATTAATGAAGTAATCATGATCAGAATATGTACTTCATTTATTAAAGAAGTTTGATTTAGTAAAACGTTTTAATAAAAATTTCATAGCTTTCAGTCACGATGATTTCATGAATTACGTTTATAACTGTAAGTTGTTTGTCTAATACGATAATGAAGCTTATGATGTGCATGGGAGAATATTAGTGTCTCTATATATGGCAGCTGTCTATCTTCAACGGTGACAATTCATAATTATATCCATAATAGTCCTAAGAGACTGTATTACTTTTAATTAAGATCATTCTGTAATAAATGAGAAGTAATTTTTCAAAGTTATTATAATTTCTTTTCGACTTATTAAAAAAAATGATGCCCGTCATTAATATAAAAACAAGCGTCTTATTTAAAGACCGTTTATTTAAAAATAGACTATTTTCAACGAAACTAATTTTGTTGAATTAGTATTCACTTAATCTTTAGTTTAGTAAATGATTTCAATCATACTAATAAACACTGTTGAGTAAGTATGATGAATATTCTGTTTACTGTTTGAATTCATTTCTCAGTTCAAAATCATGAAATTATTTGTCATATATTCTAGTATTATAGAAAGGACTTTAGAGTATGACATTTGTAGTAATATTAACGACGAAAAAAAACAATCAAATATTCTTTTCCGACGTAGATTTCGTTTGACATATTATTTCTAATAATAGAAAGCTGAAAGAATTTTTAAAAGAGGAAAAACCCTCTCCAGTAGAGAACTCTTTAAACTAATATCATAGACTTTTCTCATTAACTTTTCATAATTATTGGTATTCAGAGTTCCGAATAATAAAGTCCGATTATCTACTTCCATCCAATAATTCTCATATCTGTATATTGCAAACTGCACTTCCTTTTACAATGGTGTATGAAATTATCTTGATTTTTTCCATCGAAATTTACCATTATTTTTTGTTGTATTGTGACTCTCGAGAAATAGAATAATTTCCGTCTAGCTAAGAAACTACAACCTATATTGTCTCTTATTGGGTCTGCATCTATCTTTCGGATGAGATCGTTGATCAAGGAAGAATGCTCCTTTTCCCGACTATGAGCTGGAGGCTACTATAAAAAAAAAGAACAGNGAAAGGTACTCCAAAAACTAGGACTTGAAGCCCCAAAGGTACCCTCCCGCCAATAGTAGGACTTGAGGCCTCAAAGGTACCCCCAATTGTAAGAGCTGGGAACCCAAAGGTACCTCTCGCCCAGAATAATAGGACTTGTGGATGGTAGACACTCCTCTGAACGTTCCCGCGTTCCCGGGAACTGGTAACGGGGCGTTACTGTTCCCGGGAACGGGGAATCGAAAAAGTTCCCAGTTCCCGGGAACGCGGGAACGGAAAAGTTCCCAGTTCCCGGGAACGCGGGAACGAAAAAGTTCCCAGTTCCCGGTAACGGTAACGGTAACTTCCCACCCCTAATCTTAACCCGTAAAAACAGCTTGAAAGATGGTGTCGGTTAAACTAGTATCACCATCTAGGTGGAATACACTTAAATAAGGTCGGTTCTTCGCTTGGAAAATCTTCATAATTTTTCGAATATATTCGTCTTTATTATGACGGCTTGACCAATCTGGGATATATCGATCTAGTAGGGGCTCAACTTGGTCATTTCTATATATAACATGAAGTAATCTGTTATACATAAGCTAGCTCACCGAAGTTTAAGTTTGTCATGACATGATTCAAGTAGATTCCCAATCACATTAGCTAAGCGGCCACTTCCCTGAATTATGACCAATGGTCGTTTGGCATCGATATCGTTTAGTTTAACCTCGAGCGAATCTAATCCGCCCTCAACAAGGATTGTTATTGCGTAACATTTTTTTGGCGTGCATAACTTGTTAACAAACTCAGAACGTATTTCGTCATTGATGTAAAAACGCCTTCGTTTGTCTTTTTCTACCAAACAATCACTTTGACTACCATCATCGAGAAGAAGAAAATGTGTATGATTGTTCTCAAGTGTTTCGTGCTTTGCATCATCCAATTGATTATTAGCAGTTCTATTAGCATCATCCACTTGCTGACTATTGTTTTCACCGGCCTAGAACACGATTGATGATTAATAATTAATAGTATTACTATTTTCTTGTTAAACTATACATGTGATCTGAGCATTTCACGAGTTTCTTCTGATAGACAACCCCAACTGGTCAATCCGATAATCGTGTGGGTTGGTAGATTTGTATGCTGCACATTGTACCGTCGAACGGCCTCACCGATGACCGAAGATACACCACGACCCAAGCCCGTGCTCAAAAGCCACACTCCTGTGAAATATTAAATAGGGTGTGGGTGTGGATGTGGGTGTGGGTGTGGGGTGTGGGGTGTGGGTGTGGGTGTAGGCTTTGCCTTCACTATACCCACATCCACACCCACACACACCCTATTGTATATTAAAGACAAAATGGGTTATCAATTGAATTCATTTACATCCACAGTATCACAAACAAAATCAATGGATAGAATAAAAGTCGATAATTATGTTAGTATAGGTGTATATGATACTGTTGGAGTTGAAATATCAAATCCTTCAAAAGATGGTTGGGATCCTAAATTGGCATTGTTAATTAGTGCAGAACAAACAATTAATCTTGGTCGAAGTGGATCAATTTTAAGAGAAGCAATTCATCAACACTTACCTAAAGTATTCAAGTATAAACCAAACGTAATTAGTATTTGGTTGACCGTTAATGATTTTAATCAACAAATATATGATAGATCTATTTTAACTAGTTATACATCAAATCTTACTGAAATGTTATCTCAATTAAAAAATAAATTAGGTAATGATACACGAATTCTTGTTGAAAATATTCCAGATTTATCTAAGGTTAATATATATATACATCACTTGGAATACCTAAATTTCTTCTAACTTTACAAAGAAAACAATGGAATGATTCTATTAAACAAATTGTTAAGAAAAATCAATGTGATCTTATAGATTTATATTCATATTGGAAAGAATTAAGTGCACAGTCTGAGGATGTTTCATTTGATGATTTTCATCCATCGACGCATGGATATGAAAGATTTGTACACATTTTTTATCAACAATATTTAAAATAAAGAAATGTATTTAGTCGAATGGATTTCTATTAACAGTTCTCTATTGCATTTTGTCTCATGTAGAATTAATATAAATAAATAAAATATTTTTGTAACGATGCATTTATTGATTAAGATTATCCAAAGCATTAATTTACCGCTAAAAGTTCATCTCCGCCAAAAAATCAATTTTTTTAAAAATAAAAAGGTATTATTTGAGATAAACATATAGATATGACTCTCTATATTTGGTACTCATGTCAGAAAGTTCTTTAGGTCAATATATCAACCCCTAATAACAAAGTAGTCACAAGTTTTCTAGAAAAAAATTTCCTAAAATCTTTGGAGTTTTATGATTTTGAGGACCCCAAAAAAGGAAATAACATAAAAATTGAAGAATCCTTCCTATTATCTGAGGCAGTATGAAACTTTCTTTGAAATGAGTGTAGTCCAAGAACTGTAAAAATCGATTTTGGAGGGAATGTGAAGGGTGAGACCTTAAAAGCAGAAGAATATGATAGAGATGTAGATATGATTTGATTATTATAGAAGGTGATTTTGAAAAATAGAGAAGAGATATTTTATTGATTTTAGTATTATCGGAGTTGAAGAAAGTGACCTAAATTAAGTTTCTTCTCACTAATATTTGTGAAAAGCGATCAAAAAAAGGAATGTTGTGAGTATAAGGGTAAAAATTTTGGACTCACACTGCGATACACATCTTAGCAGCGACCGATACCATATCGTGACAAACTTCTCGATAACGATCTATCGCAAGTTCTATGATCATCAATAAAACCTACCTCCTGTTGCAGATTTTAGTCCCGCACAGGATTGTGCGAAGAGCTTTTTGTTTTTATTTAACTGTTGTTTTTTTTTGAGAAGTTATGCAATTATGAAAACAAATTAGATACATTTTGAATTGATCAAAAACCTGAGCAGTATATTAGATATGAAACCTATGTCTATATTCATTATTATCAAAAGATAATGAAATAAATAAAACATGATTATATAATACATTGAATAACTAATTAGTTCTACTGATTTTATTAAAAAATCAATAGCAAAAGTTTTCAGATTTATATGATAACTTAATGAATATCAGAATCAATATATAACAATAAGAAGCTTTCAATTATATTTGCATATATAGAAATATCATTATTATATACATAATTAATAATAAAATATTAAATAATTCAACTTAATGATGAAAAATAGTTTGCATCTTTAAAAAACAACATCATCTTGCCAAAGACGAGATAAAAAGTCTTTCTGTACATTAACGAAAAGTAAATTTTTATTTTGAAAAAGTTCCAATGCTGCTATTCGACTAATTTATTAATATTTTTTTAATATATTTTGTATAATTATAATTGAAATATTTCTTTTGTAAAAATACTTCATGCTACTCATTTAACGATGATAATCCTATTCTCGAATTTCAGATCATTCATTTGTTTACTTCTTTTCATAGATTTTATATAATTAATAAATATAGCTTTGAAAAATATTATTATTTAATATTTATTCAATTAAAATGAAAAATTGTTTTATAAATTTATTCTAATAAAAAAATAACTTAAAATAAGCTTAAAATTTTAAGAAATACAAAAGTCAAGAAAAGCAAGGTTATAAGACGCATTTATTACACTTTATAACTCGTCGACGATAACAAATTCTTTGGTTACATACAACTTTTCAATTGTTTTCACGGATTAAATATATTATCAGGTTTTCATGAATATGTTCATTCTTAACGAAAGTTATTTAATTATACATTGTTACATATACTACTAGTACTTGCTCTGGCGCATGAAATAATTTTTCATCTTTCATGTCATTCATTTGTTAATGCACTTTATACGAAATTCATTTTCAAAAATTCATATTTACAAAATATGAAGTATGTCCCTGATTTAGATCAATCAAGATATCAAAGTCTTTTTATCAACTAAAACAAGATATTGCTTTAGATAAAGTTTAGGAAAGGTCTCCTTAAAAACAAACTTTTTCATTTTCCATCCAATTTCAACCAAAATTTTACGGAATGTCATTCTTGACTAGAGTAGGTTATAAGTAAAATAAACTCCACGAAAATCCAGATACTCACGAGTTATAGTCGAGTTATTCGTCAAAAGTACCATTTACGCTGGGACGGTTTTCAAATGAGGAAACGAGCTAACATGTTCGGGTGGTTTTTAAATTGTAGAGTACACTTAAAAGGAGGGAGTTTTCTCATTCAAACATACCCTGAAATGTTGTCAGCTTGTATAGACTACCTTCAAGGGTGTGGGTGTTATACAAGAAAAGATTCATATCCATACCCTTTCAGCATTGTTGAACACATTACTAAAATAATTTACTATTAGTCAAATGTAAATAGAACGTGCTCAGTCAAAAAAATGTTCTAAAAATTTTCAATCGAATCTCACGATATGCTTGGTAGCATGTGTGAAACCGTAGATGTGGATATGAGTATTGGTGTAGGTGGAATATGTATATCAGTATGGGTGTGTTATGCATGTATGGGTGGGAAGGAACGCAGACAAGACCTACACTGGATATCCACTCATGTGCATTTATCGCAGTCACATGTTTCGCTTCAAGATGCCGAGATTGAAACTATGGGGCAGTAGAACAATATCATGAATCATGAAAAAATATATTTCGCACTTAGTTGGATGTTTTTCAAAGCGTTGTTCTAAAGGTGCCGATGAAAGTCAGTGTTTTGTTTTTTGAAGAAAACTGTTTACAGTGAAGCGCAACGAAAATTGATCGAACACCTATAAGCTAAAACCAGCATTGAATGAACTAATGTATCAATGATATGTAGAGGGCTTATCAAATTTTGTCAAGATCATGCAAACGATGATGTATTGATACGTGTCGAACCAATGATGAATCCATTTACAGTGAAACAAACCCGTATCATCTTATAAATGACATCATTCATCATCTTTGTATGAAACGCCAAATATCTTCTCGGAACTTGGCTGCGTTATTAACGTCGTGGCTAGATTCAGAAGAATGTAGTATATTTTTATACTTTCTCTATCATCTCTTATCCACGTTTGCACATAATGTCCACAATTTGTGTTCATCAGCATTCATTCGTCTATTGTTGTCTTCTACTATTGTCTTCGATTGATGAAATGTATCAACATGTACATGCAGATATTCATTATGTTTGTTCTTTATGTGCTCCACATATTGAGGATGTGGGTATGGATATCACTGAGCAAAAGAGTCGCAGTTATATTGCCTAAAGGATGTAGGTGTGGTCAAAAGAAGAGTCACACCGTCACCCACATTCACCCTAAAATTGTAGAAGCTTTTGGGGCAAAATAATTACTTATTACAAAAGCAAAGAAATAAAATATTTTTTACACGTTTAAAAGAGGTAATAGATTTTGTTTTTGATATTGAAATTTTTGAATATTAGATAAACGTGAAGGCTTTTCCAATGATTTTATTTGTATAATAATTGATCAATAATGATGAAGACGACGTCAATGACAAGAATTTTTGTCTACTTGTTAAAGACGTAGTTCGATACTGCTGTTGTCGCAGTTGTTCTGAGAAAAGCATGAAAATAAATGAATCTATTAGAAAGCAAAGTTCTTTTTTTTTTCAAATATACTGTTCATTTTTGTTATTTATTGTTTCATCATCAAGCATTTTCATACATTTAATAGTCAAGAAAAATAAATAAAATAACTGTAATTAGACTTTCATAAATAAGAATGAATATATTTCATTGTTATTATCATTAAAATCTTTGAAAAGTAAACATGATTACTTTCAAATATTACAGAAAAAAACTTTTTTTGAATCAAAATTTTCGAGTAGGCGTTTAAAAAACAAACTATCATCAATGACTTAGAACTATGTTTTTTATATAAAGATAAAAATTTTTCAAGTACATATGTAGGCATTGTTGTTGCAATCGTTTTATCATATATAATCAACTAAACTTATAAATGGTAGCGTCTGTTAAAAAAAAACCAATAAACATACAATCTATACTACTCCTTTACCTACAGAAGTACTTGAATATCATGAATAAAAAACAAACGGTAGTAAAGCATGAAAGAAGAAATAATACCGTCAAATAGAATATTTTTATATTAAGAATATGTAAATTCTTCTAAAAAGATCTTCAATTTAATCATCAAACATAAAATAGAAATCTATTTTGTGGTTTTTTTTTAAAGCACAAAATGATTTGATAAGATTAATAGCAAATTTCGATCATATTACATATTTATTAAATTTTAATAAAGAATCAAAACGAAAAATATAATTACAACATATAAAAATTAGACAACATTCTCACAATTTTATTGTTCACGTGTACAAGAACGAACACATTTTTGATTACCATTAGATCTATAAATCTCTTGTTTTGATAAACTTTCATTTTGACGATTAAGTATTGTTAGAGCATTTTTACCATTAAATAAAACTTCAACACTTTGTCGTACTTGAGATGAAGAAGTTTTTGGTGACATACATCCTACATTTCGACTATAACCTATTGTTTGTATTGAATTAGGATTTAAAGGAGATGTTCCATATATACGATGTCTTTCTTTTTGTTCAATTAAATGAAAATCAATAAGTAATTGATGAATTTCATTTATAAATATACTCCGAAATTTTTTTCCAGCTAAACAATATAAGAAAAAATTAACTACATATGGTAAATTCAACAATATATCTTTTATAACTTCTGAGTAGAATCTTGTTTTATGAATTGCTATATTATCTTTACTCATATTTACAAATGAACGATTATGTAAATATGCTTTTTCACCAAAAATCAGAAGACCCACATAAAATATTGTATTAGGAATATTAAATATAATTACTGATAATGTAACAGCTAAAAGCATACGTGTAACTTGTGCATTTGTACGTCGTTTTGTAGCTAATACTAATTCGGCTGCTGTAGTTGTTGAAGTACCAGAACAACTTTGACGAAGCGATGGCTTTAATAATTTTTTCTTGCGAACACTTAAATCAGATTCTCGCTTGTTAGAATCATTAGATGTTCGCCAATCATATGAAGTACGATGTAATACAACCACAATAATAATATTAGCAGCTGTAATAACACCTAGAAATGAATGAGATCATTACATTAATGTTTCAGAAAGAAAAAGATTTGTCATGAAAGACTA